ACTCATGAGCCTCTCTTTGTCTCAGGTGGGGACCCTCCCAGTCCCGAGGTACCCGCCGTCTGAATTACCTAGGTATGAAGTGGGGGGATCTAGCGTCTGAAATACTAGCCTTGGTCGGCACATTGGGCCTCGACATGCCTTGCCTTACCACGCCTACAGACGTGCGTGCGTGCGCCGTTGACCAAAAATAGCAGATAAGGTACCCCCCCCAAATTGACCGACTGGGCTGGACTGGACTGGATGACATGTGCGGTCAAAGTCTGAACGCCACAGCAGAAGGTTGGTAGGCTAAATGGGAGCCAAATCAGACTCAACTGAGTGGGATGGTTGTACATGTATGCCGCTTCGGAAGGTAAATAAAAAAACGGTGAAAGTGAAAGAAAACCCACGACTCTCGACTCTAAATGAGCGCATAGTGACCAAGTCGAGATTCCTCCGACTCGACGGACGCGCTTGCGAACACGCCACTCGTCCTGTTAGCCGCGTCATACATGTACTCAATCTTACACAACACGCTCTTTCTTCTGCACGCCAGAGATGAGCATGCAACTTCAGATTGCAACCGAGTCGTACCTACAGCCAGCCAATATCATGCTGGCCCTTTGGGGCGAGAGAGCCCCAGCCCCCCCTTTTCAATCTCTCCATCTCTCACTGGCACCCCCACCACACCCAGAAATGACGGACCGCTACCTCGCGATGCCGACCTCAATCCGACCCTCGAGAAACAAGCGAGAGTCGCGACTGGATAGAGTACCGCGAACCCTAGCCAACTACCATGTACATGTACTTCGTACAGCATCTCGCATTATCCACAGATCTAAGTTGTGAGCTGCCACCCTGGCTTTCTCTTTGAGCGTGCCTGAAGAGGGCAAGGAGGGCTACCTAGGTAGCTTCTAGCTTGGGCACAGGCTGGCCGTGATCCTTGCTTCCCGCCCCTGGGGCCGCGACTGGCATGTCTCCAAGAAGCTCCCCTGGCTCCCATACCCTCTATCGCCCCCGCCCTCCCACCCCCCCCCCAAGCAAGTTCACCAACCGCCCCCCGTTCCCCATCAGATTGCCGTGTCGACAGCGGCCAACAGGCTTGTGACAAGCCCGACAGGACGGAGAGCTCCTTGGACCCCAAACCTTGGGGGCTGCTGGCCGGTCTGTCACAGGGATGACTAGTTAACTGGGTTGGTGGCACAGGCCGCTACACACACCACTTTTGCCCCTGGATGGGACAGCCAGGGACCGCTCTACCACACGTTTCTCCCCTCCCCCTCCATCACCCGTTCCATATGGCCTGTCATCCCTGCCTCCCGCATGGCCGGTCTCTGCATCGCGTCGAGGCCCTTGCTGCCTCTGCCTCTGCCTGTGCCTCTGCCTGTGCCTGCGCCTTGCCTTGCCTTGCCTCGCCTTACCATGCCTTGCCTGGGTCTGCCCACCTGTCCGTCCGCATAACACAAGCTTGCGACCGTTGCAGCACTAATCTGGGCTGCCCGATTCAAGTACCAGCAACCCCATACCATACCGCTTCTCCTGGCCGTGTGCATGTATTCTTGGGGTAGCGCATCCATGTAATGGAACCAAACAATCGGTTGAACAGATCCGTCCAAGTGCCCGGCAAATACCCACCAAGTGTCCAGGCCTGATCTGATAGTTGAATCCATGCTATGTACATGCCTTCCAGCCGGGCATTGCGCATAGGAAAGATAGACGCTCTTTGTCGATTGCCGGCCGTGAACCGATGGGTACCTATGAACGAGGAGCAGCCGTCGAATTGGCTGACGAGTCATTGGTAAGTATATTTGTCAGAAGCTAAGGCGTCTTGATTCGAACCTATCCTCGGACATGCGTGCTCCGGCGTCTACATTCGACAGACAGTTCGCGCCTTGGAGACAAGCAAGAGGTACTAGGACACCTGAACATTGATCACCTTTTGGCAGCTTCTCGTGTTACTGGCTACATGGGTACCTCCGTTGCGCTGCGTGCGGATGCTGACCACCGTACCTCACACGTTGATGGCAAATAGGAAAGAGCGGCGGTCGGCCGAAGACTTTGCTGTACAAGTACCGAACAAAAGTTTCCCATGTGTCCCTGAGTGCGGGATGCAGTTGAGCAGTCACTTTCCAGTACCAATCCCGGCGTTGCCCAAGCTGTTCTCTCGGCCCCCCTGTCGAACTTTGAGCAACGACGACCAGGGTCAACACGTGTCCACGTGCGGCCGTGTCCATCGCAACTTCCCAGTCTCTACAGTAGTACCAGCTAGGCAGTCGAACGGTCGCATGCTCGCACACTGCCCAATCACCCTGTAGCTAAGTACGTAGTTAGCTCTGTTGTGCAAGTAATCTGGCACCCACGCAGGGCACGCGTACCTTCCTTGCCAGTACAGTACCTGTCTTGGCAAGTAAGCAGGCCGGCACACACACTCCTCCCAGCCCGCGAAGTCAGACAGGACCTTCACGCCAGTGTCCACAACGCTGATCTCCCCCCTGCCTGCTCGTCATATCCCATACGCGACCTGCTCAATGCCTCAGAATCAAGGCTTTAGCGTCTCCTCTACGCGTCGTAAACGATCCGTCAATTGCCTGTCGCGCGTTCAGAACTCAACCCAGCTACCTACCCTGGCATCCGCCTCCGTGCACGCGAACCATCATCTGCAACGTTGAGCGCGTGAAGCAACGCATAGCAACTGACTTTCGTAGTTTGCTTCTATCCGCACGTATCAATCGACCTTTCGTCTGCCGTCGTTTAGTATCTGTCGCGAACGGGCCTTGAACCCCTCGAACACCTCTACAGGGAGTATCACACGTCCCCTCTTATGGTCTCTCTCCTGGTTCCGCGGCCCAGCCCCCCCCTCTGAAGCTTCGTTTGAGACAACACGCGCCACAGACGCCATCTTGTTTTTTTGGAAGCGTTAGGGATATTGTTGTTTGCCTG